TCTGAGAGACACTAACCGAAACCAAATTGTCCAGATCACCATCGATTCAGATACCTTGACAAGCAGCTGAATAGACAGGAACCCTGCCTTCCTCAGAGGTAATTAGCAAGTGCGTTTATAATGTCTCAATTGGCATCCGAGTGCACCTGCACATTCGTTTGACGCAAATGGCAGCGATTATTGTTAATGCAATCGGCACGTGGCATGGAGGTGGTCACATGGGCAAAGTCGATTGCCCTGATAAAGTTAAAATTTCAGAGATCTGATTAAAACACGGGCCCCGGCACCCCGGCACCCGTGAGGCCTCCTCAGCAGTGGAGGAGGCACAAAGCGATGAGCGAGATCAAGCGTAAGGAGGTGCGTGTTCGGTAACGAGGACTCCAGCATCGCGGGCATCTCTGTGTTGGAGTTTCAGTCGTGTTCCCTTTGGTGCGTGGTGCTGGGAGACAGGCGAGGACACAAGCAGGGATACCGAATCAAAACAAAATCAGAGTGACACGCATCTGCGTGTTTGATAAAAAAAAATTTAAAAAGTGCTTTTTTTGGATCTGTGAACACGTCCTTGTTTTTCCTTGTTTCCAAATGTTTTTGATCTAAAAAAAGGCATTTGTTGTTTTTTTCCCAGGTTCGTAGTTTCATATAAAATGCCAAACGGGGTAAAAAAAAAATGTGCATTAAAATAAAAATATCAACAACCTGGTAAATCTTAGCCCAGGATTCACTTCATAACCACAGTTTTCTTGAAGGGCTACGTTCTTGTCAAATTCAGCTACATTTTTTTGGAGTAACCACAACCACCACTAGACCAGCATGGAAACAGGAACAACTGGTGCAAACACAAATCCGTTACAAAAAAAAAAAGTCCCAGGACCTATTTTATATCAGCAGACTGACTGCCGCTGTTGATCGTTGCTGGGAATATCCATCCAGAGATCCCAGTCAAAGGAAATTCACAGCGATAGATTTTTTTTAAGGAGACCACATCACACACAGAGACCACATCATACACACAGACCACATCACACATCACAGTGCAGGCATACAGTATATGAAAATGCATTGATCTGGGACAGGAAGACCACTACCGATTCACTAATACCTGATACCCTGGGGACCCTCAACAGACAACCAGAGAATCGCTAACCAATACAAGTACACAATCACTGCTAAGTGGTACCGTTTCAGTGACTGAGGGGACGCTGTTAAGGAAGGCTGGCCTGTGCACGCCGCTCTGTCTCCTCACAAATAGCCCATCAGCTCTGGCCTGTTGGAGGGGCACAGCTAATCTGGATGCAAGATTACTTTTCCACATCACATGGCCAAGTCTATTAAAGGTCTGAGCCAAAAAGCCAGGGATTGAACCGACAATTGTTATTTATATCAATTTAGATGAATTCCACTGCAAACATAAGGCACGTAAGCCCAGTATTAAACAATCAAATCTCACATATGTGTTTTTCTATATATATTTTCCATACATTATGTAAATTGTACATAAAGAGTGAGCCATTTTGAATAAATACAATAATAATATAAGCTAACTTCATAAGAAAGAAACGTCATAGAAATATTGGCTAATGGTCCTTTAAACAATGTGATGTCTCATACTACTTTCAATATTTTGTGCTGTCAAGTTGGCGATCATATAGACAGCAATACTCCTGGAAGTTCTGTCTTCAGGCTGGGTCTTCAGGCTTCCCAAAGGCATTTTTCTCCGATGACGGAGATTGCCACGATGACTGAGGGTAAAACGCATTAACGACATACTAATGTGTGAGCCCCAAGTGTCCGCGCGCCCGGAATACGGAAAGAAGCACGCGGTGCGGCGATAGCACCCTGTCGCAGATGGTCGTCTCCTGGAGAAGCACGTCCATGGGTGAACTTGTCAGGGGGGACGTCCGTGGCTAGGGAGCGGGCTTAGCCTTCCTCCGTGTCATCAATTAATGCATGAGGGCTGCTTCTCTCAGCATATAAAATAGGATTCTATATTTTCCCCCCTGCTGTCGAGCAAAACCTCATGCAGCCCATTGACAACCTGGCGACGCCGCACTACACTGATAGCTGCAGTGTACTCCCTGGCATTGAATTTTATGCTCCACTTGTACCAGACTATTGTGAATTCTGTTGTGTTCTCGCTACAATGCCTCATTCTTGATATCTCTGATAGAGGTATATCTGTGTGCAGCCAAGCTTTCATTTTTATTAAGCTCCATTCTGTGTTCAGTATGCATTCATCACGAAAACACCAGTACTAGTCAATGGATCTTTTAAGTAATAATGCGGTGAGATGATATACGAAAAGTTCATTTTACTTTTCAGGGTCGTGTTAATTTAAACTTCTCTATCAAGAACTAGGTAAAAAATAAGCAGAGTTACTCCTAGTCTAGGCCCTGTCTTTTAAGGAATATGTCGCTGATTGCGGTTACTGCTTTTGCAGCAGACGGTTTTTTTTCTTCGTTAACTAACATGGTCACTAACAGAATATTTCAAAGAGAGTGTAATGCTTAAGTGAGTAGGGTGGACCAGTGAGCTTCTATGATAGTCTCCAAGGCCTCCGTTGCTAATATCAAAACAGCTGCATTGAAAGAAGAGTGAATATCTATAGGGAGAACGCCGTTTCAAATTAAGTCAGGGTCTCTTAAGACTAAATTAACTTCGCTCGGTGTGTGCATTTGCATAAGAATCTAAGGAATACCGCGCACTTCTATCAAGTCTAATAATAACACAATGCTTCTCTCTCTCCCTCTTATAATAAAGGTGCTTGATAATACTGACTTTTTATCTGAAAGCATTTTGTTGCCCTGCAATTAAACTGCTTAGGCTTAACTTTACAAGAAAAAGCATGAATGCGGTTGTGTGTTTATAGTATGTTTGTTACCCGATATTAATAAAACTACATATTAAAACGCCAACTCTTTATTCACTCAAACTAAACAGAGCAAATCATTCTACCAGCGACACCGCCGCCATTTAGCGCAAATAAGAAACGCGTTTTGCACCTGTATCACCAGCAAGCCGGTTCAGCAATAAAAAAAAATGTGGACTCGGTCCTTTAAGCGGCTTTGATTTATCGCCCCGCTGCTTCGGATTCAGTCCACAGAGCCGGTCTTCCTGCACAAACAGCACGTCTGTCATCCGGAGCCAGCCATCTGTCAACGTGACGGGCGGAGAGCAAGACTGAGGGTATGGCGTGCGGGGCTGTCAGAGACGGGCGGCGGGGGTACAGTGTCCGTGGTGCGGTGGTGACACACTACTCCACACCCCGAAAAGAAAAATAATCCCTTGGTATCCTCGTGCCTAAACTGGCATCGCACAAATAGAAGGGAACTTCAAATTATTGCGACAGTGCCCTTTCAGGGAAGTTTAATAAGTTTGATGGAAACAAACAGGTGTGACGTTAACATTAAATTGTACTTAAATGTTCACGTGTACAGTATTGCCCTGTGAAAGCCTCCGGTCACCCTGCGGCTATGACAAAACAAGTCCAATGGAAACGGACATGTATAGCGCCTCTATGCAAATGGTCGCTCGCCTTAGCGTCTGTTTGATGATGGTGCCTGGGGGTTAAGGTTAGGCTTTTCATAGTTTATTGGGCAATTAACTCTGACCGCAGGAAAGTCTGGCAGAATGAACTGTCAGTATCTGACTATACAGTTTTTCAGAAAATCCGTGAGACTTTTTTGTAACCATTATCAGTATTTGACAGCCATAGCAAAATTCATATTGTGCAATAATAAATAGCCGAAGGAACAAAATGGCAATGAACGATGATTAAAACTTCACAAATAAAGTGCATTTTAATGGCATTCGTTTTTTCACCCTTCCCACTGTCACAATATGTCATTATGTTCCCTTTTCTGCATTTTGGCAACAAAGAAGATCAAACTAAAAGCACAAAATGAGAAAGTCAAAGGCTGCATTACTATAATCTAGTTTTTATATTTGATTGTCATATTTAAGGCAACTATTATTGAGGAATGATTATCTTATCGAAAATTGTTGAAATGTTCAGCTTCACTGGATTAATTTATCAGGATAAAGTAACACTACTATTGCATTGGAGTAAAATTCTCCTTGTAACTAGAAATTGTAGCAGCTACAATTATTACAGTGGCCCTTTAAAAAATTGTTAAATAAAACAAGTTATATATCTATGCATTTTAAACAAATTGTGCTGATTTGTATGTAACAGGCTCTTAGAGGGGCTTAGAGTGGAGGCTGTATTGTTGCAGTACAATTAAACCACACCATGGTTGTGAGTCATCACTTGAAGAGGTCAATGACTTATGCTACTCTGTATTTGCACCCCACCCCCATTCCCCAACACACACCTTTCATTCACAATAGACAGTCTTTTCATGGCCATGGAAGGTCTAGTTGTAAGACGACCATTTAGCATTTATGAAGCACTTGAATAACTGCAGTGGTGTATTGTATGACTGAAAGAGATTCATCCATATTTTAAACAGTTACCCAGTACAGGGTCATGGAAGGTAGGGACTGGAGCATATCTGAGGCAGTGTAGGACACAGGGCAGGAGGACAGCCTGGACACATGTACAATGGACAATTTAGAAATGCAGAAATTATGCAGAAACTATGTATTTGGGCTCAGGAGGAAACACACATAGAGCACTGAGAGGAACTCAATCCCACAACCATGGAGGTGTGAGGCAACAGCGCTATCTGCCTTGCGTATATCTGAGCAGCAGTTATATTTAAGAAATGGGGCCTTGGGAACGACGTTTTGCTGGTGGTATTTTAAGGACAATCCAGCCGCATAATTCTAAAGAAATATAGTTCATGTTCATTATTTTTAAGTTTTCATTTTGGAAATTGTTTTAGTGCTTATTGTAGACAGCTGTTATATGATTTCTATTTTTAAAGTCTTATGTCGAGCTACGGTTGTGTCTAAGAATTAAGACAATACACTAAGGTTTTTCGGCTATAGTCGTTCAATGTGGACCGGGGGCTTTCCGTCATCGCTCGGCTCTGTTCGTCTATTTCCGTGCAGGCCCCCGGCTGCCATTTTGTTGTCTGACTTGTTGGCTGAGGCGCGGTGCTGTAGTTAGCAGGAACCCAGCGTAGATACGTTCTCCGGCAATGGACGGGTACGTATCGAGGTCTGTGTCGCCGGAGACAGCGGCGTCTCATTCGGTTTATTCCTTGACGTCTCCGTTAAGCGCTCACAATATAGCCAGTCGGGTCGCGAACTTGGGTTACTTTTAAAAGTGAAACGGCAATCTGGAGGGACACAGCTTGCTTAGCCCTTTAGCATGTTAGCATGCGAGCTAGCTGGCCAAACTGAACGGAACTTCTCCTGGAAATCATGCTGGTGGGAGGCTTTTATCGCTGGGGAAACGCTGGGATGGCAGGTGCTGAGCACATGGTCGTGTAACTTTAATGATAGAAAACAAAGTACAAGTGCGGTTCTGAGGCTCCCGTCCTTTAGCTAATGGGTTAGCGGTTGTGTCTGCGATGCGAGCAGCCGGCGGAGAGCCCGACGGGAGGCGCGGCGCTCCGTCTCGCATGCTTTGTTATGGATTAGCCTGGGTTTCTTTGTTTACTATTGGGAAATAAATCCCCATTTTAACATTTATTTTCGATTTTTTTTCTCCTCTCCCATGTAACACCCCATATCTATTTAAGCAATAAGCCACGTTTCGAGGGTGTTACCCTATCCCCGATTTCGCTTTTCCCCGTCTGGTTGCTGCCGAGCCTCGCCTGTCAGCCCGCCCGCCGAGCATCACTTTCCCCGTCGGTGAGGGGCTGCGGCCGTTTTGTGGGCGGACGGCCCACCTCGACATGACACAGGGCTGTGCTCGGGTGCTCTGTGCTGTTCGTGTGCATGCATGTATGGCTGTCATTTGAATAGTTACGTCGTTCACACATGCATATATGCACACGCATATGTCGCAGAACTGCTGTTCTGCCATTTAATTTACGGGTGTGAACAGTTAATATTTAAAACGTGAACGTGTATAACGTGCTTCCCCGCCCCCAACCAGGCCGTTACAGGCGGGCCTTCGGGCTTGATGGATCCTTAACGCATCGGGCGTGTACGGTCCAGTGATGCACGTAGGCAGCTCGACATCGGCTTTCTTAAAATTTACGTTTTGACAAGTGTTATGCTTGCGTTTCAAACTCCTGTGTGTTTCCGCCGTTGCTCGGCTCTGTTCGTCTAACGCGATCGGAATCTCTTATATTTGATCACGCGCAGGTTTGACATGACATAGGCGGTTTCTAGTCAGTCCCACGTGACGGAGCTGATTTTTTTCGTCATATTTGGCATACAGACTTAGTCAAAGTAACGTGTTTTTCCGTTACAAAAACTAAATGTATTTGTTTTTCCCCTGTTACAGCATTGTCAGTGATGTTGCTGTTGGAGTGAAGGTAAGATTTGTTCCTCTGTTGCATCACACATAACGATTGAAGTAATTATTATGGATGGATTGTGTCGTTAATGTAGATGCATTATTACTGTTCACTTACTACCAAATGCCAGACTGAATGTCTATTGATGCTTTTAAGCAGTCCTGCTTTTTTGCGTGTTGCAAACACCTTAACATCCCGGGTGGTCTAGTACAACCTGATGGATACAACAGATGTTATTTTAAAGCACAGTCTCACCTGTTGAGTTTACTTCTTAAGAAAAGGCATCTCTAATGCTTAATCCTGCAGAATGTGATATGACAGAAATGTTTGGAGTCATGTGAGATATGGAAATCAAAACCGGCATACCTCATAACCTTTAATTCTGCCGGTTTAGGAAGTACAAGAGGATCTGTCTGTATTTAAAGACTTAGTCCTACTTAGTAGTTCTGTGTTATGCAACGTTGTTTACCGTTGGCCTAACGTTTGTATATTAGCCTTGGTGCTGTTGCCTGGTTTATGAATTTGTAGTTGCTCACAAATGAAGTTCATAACCCCAATCCACATCAGCACTGACCTTTCATTCTTCCGGTATTTCTGAAAACCGAACTGTCCCGTTGACATCCTCGTCACCGGGCACAGTGGCAGTGGCTCATTTTCTCTGTGTTTTATAATAAGTCTGTTTTAGGGGGTTGTAATGGGTGTCTGGAACGCACTTGGAAGTCATTAAAGCTGAAGCGGGCTGCAGATATCCCCCTTCATTTTGTATTCGAGGGCTGTAGCCTTAAGGCGATCGTGTTTTGATTTATCACAGACGTCAAAATCGGGGGGTGATAAAGAACAATTTAGTGGGATTCATTCTCAGACAAAACTGAGGCATCCAATTAGAAAGTGGAGATTGCAGCGGCCCTGTGCGCACCCGTCCGTCCGTCTATCAGTCACTTTTAGCATCGCCCTGAGCGGGTCGGCAGCCGCACGTTGTCTGGGGAGGAAGGGAGGGGGGGGCTTCCGATAAAATTGGCCTGGCTGGTAATTTGACGCATCGGGCATGCGAGATTAAAACAACATGGCCTGTGTTTTATGCGCCTGTCTCCTCTGCTTTTATGGACAGAGTTGTATTTCACTCTGTCCAATAGGATGCTGCGTCATGAGAGAGTATGCCTTATTCTTCTGTGTCATTCCCTCCCACCCCCATCAAACTTTTCTTTTTGTGGTTCCTCATTTTCAGAGAGGCTCAGACGAGCTGCTGTCAGGCAGCCACTACACCAGTCCGAGCACTGGTATGAGTGGGATTGTAACTGGTAAGGAAGGACCCCGTTTTTCCTCGATTGGGATATTTGATATTGATGTCTGTACATTAGTGTAATTTGTGTATATGTGCAAATCCATGCATCCCTTTGATGTTACATCCATAAAATAAAAAGCTATGTTATTTCTAACATGCAAAGTAATATATGAATTTTGAGGATTTGTCCATATTCAGCCCAAGAGGTTACATGAAAAGATATGCAGATTGGCTTCTTGATACTAAGCTTGTCCCTGTTCTGAGGCATTTTGCTTGTCAGTATTAGTCTAGATGTCACATCCATATTGGTGGAATTTCCCATACATGGAGATATGACCAGGAAATGGGTGAGTTCTGCTGGAACGATGTTCCAGCAAATATAAAGCAGTGTTATATGAGGGTGTGTACTTAAGGCCAGGTGTTTGGAACCGTGAATTCGTGAAGAAATATGGGTCACTCTCGAATGGGGTGCCAGGCAAACAATTGAATAACGCTGTGTAATAATCTCACGACGACCGCCCACATGTGTCGGTGCACACTCGTGCAGCACAGCCCAGCACAACCAGTGATCCTCCAGAAATCTAAACGTGTCGTGTCGACAGGTCAGGCGGGTGTTAGTGAACATGCCATGGTTTGCAAGGTTTCTGCCGAATGCATCGTGTGCCTGGTATCGGGGGGTCTGGAGCCTATCCCGGAATCAATGGGCACGAGGCAAGGAACAACCCAGGACAGGAGGCCAGCCCATCGCAGGACACACTCACACATTCACTCACACATGCACACCTATGGGCAATTTAGTAACTCCAATCAGCCTGAGCATGTCTTGTGTCCACGACGACACAGGGAGAACATGCAAACTCCACACACATGTAACCCAGGCGGAGACTTGAACCCAGGTCCCAGAAATGTGAGGCAACAGTGCTAACCACTGCACCACCACGTCGGCCCTGTGTATATATGCACCACCACGTCGGCCCTGTATATATGCACCACCAGGTCGGCCCTGTATATATGCACCACCACGTCGGCCCTGTATATATGCACCACCAGGTCGGCCCTGTATATAAAATAAAAAGCATAAATGTAGTTTAAGTGATAGATGGCCATCAAACATGAAATGTTTTGTGTGCATTTTGATAAATTGGTCTGAAAATAAGTGCACTTTAAATTTTCAGTGTTCATCACAACCCTCAATGACACAAATACAATCGTTTGTACCAATTATTAGTCCATAACTTGAGGGACTGTAAGCCAGCCTCTTTGCTCCCAGTCACAGCCCAGTCAGTGTTATGTGGTTCCGTTTATAGTGAGAAAACACTCGGCTTATTCCTTCCACAATTGCAGTACATGCACATATACAATAATCCAGTGCCAGGGGAAGCCCTTCTCTGGCCTAGCATAGAATCTACCCCGTTTACCCAAACTCCACACCAGTATGCAAAGAATAAGCCCCAATTCCTTTGTCTACTTATGTCACAAATTAGCTGAGTTGGATGTTACCTCCACCAAGGTCAAGCTTGCATCAGTTTTGCTTGCTGAGGAGACTGGTGCATTCTGGGATACACTATAGTTCTCTCTTTGCTCTGGCAACAGGTGAACTTGTTCTTACACTTTATCATGCAACTTTTTATCATTATTCATTGTTGCTCCATGACATGTTTTCCTGGACCTAAATTTTATGCATGATCGTGAAGATGCAACCACAGTTGGTTCGGTTCAGTTTGGAAGGGTTGACATGAAAACAGTCAATGACTGTTCTGGCCTGACACCAAGCTTTCTAATGGGGTTCTGCGGATTTGTCAGGTAGAGCAGTGAGCTGGTGTCACTGTCCCACGGCCGTATCTGTTATAAAGAGGTGTCTTTGCTTGGGCTAAGCCTGTGCGAATCAGGTACTCTGTTTGACATGCCGCATTAACGGCTTTGCACCTCTGCTGTAATCACCATCACAGCTAATGGAAATGATAGCAAGAAACTGAGAGTGGAAGACAGAATGGACGCCACCCCTTCCCGTGTCCTCCACATAAGGAAGCTGCCCAATGAAGTTTCCGAGACGGAGGTCATCGCCTTGGGCTTACCTTTTGGGAAGGTCACCAATATCCTGATGCTTAAGGGAAAGAATCAGGTACGTCGGTCTGCTGCAAGATGTGACTTTATCCTCTATGCTGGATGTCATTCTGGGCTCCGTATCTGGCCCGGTAGTAATAGAGATGATCTGTATGTCCACCCGGGGAGAGCCACAGCTAATGCATATGCTGCATTTTATGCCAAGCAGGCATTCCTGGAGCTGGGGACAGAGGAAGCCGCCATTACCATGGTGAATTATTACACGGCCGTGACACCTCATGTCCGCAACGTCCCCGTCTTCATCCAGTACTCCAATCACAAAGAGCTGAAGACCGATAATGCCCTCAACCAGGTGAGAGGACCAGTCCGAGCGTGAAGGCAGTGTCATCAGAGGCTGGCATAAGCCGTAGCTATGTTCTCTGAGGAGCTGGTCATGCTCGTTTGTTCAGTTCTGTCGTTTTCTTCCTCCCTCGTCATTCTGTCTTTCGAAGCGTGCACAAGCGGTCCTCCAGGCCGTCACAGCTGTCCAGGCAGGAGGCACCCCGACGTCGGGGACGACGGCCAGCGAGAGTGCGCTGACGCCGGCGCCCAGCCCCGTGCTGCGGATAATCATCGACAATATGTTCTATCCTGTCACCCTGGACGTCCTTCAACAGGTATGGCACTCGTGGTCATGCGGCCTCGCTATAAACCACAGAGGCGGCCGCGTTCGTCTTCTCGTATGTGCGGATAGGAAGCCAGACGGGGCTGAGGACTGCAAGGCAGTGCTAGGCCTGGGTACTTAGTTTATGCTTTACCGAATTTCATGGTGTCGCAACCAAATGGAGTTAGGGACAAAGGATAGCAGATAGTGCCAGTGTGGGAAGCGGTACATAGGGCAGCTACAGGTTGAAACTATCATCGATGTGTTGGGCAATGTGATGGCAATGTAACAGTGGAGGGCGCTATCTGGTCTTGACGGACCCACCCAAAATCTCCAAGGTTTAGTCAATGACGAGGTGATGGGGACAAAACAAGCCATTCAGGTACAGTTTATCTAAAGGTAACTGCAAACTGAACTGCTTCATGCGCAGTTCTTTGTTTTTGTGCATTTAATGAGGAAAGTGATGACAGCATCAGTCCCTCGTTTGTATAGATCTTTTCCAAGTTCGGAACGGTCATGAAGATCATCACGTTCACCAAGAACAATCAGTTTCAAGCCCTGCTGCAGTTCAGCGACCCCGTGAACGCCCAGCAAGCAAAGCTGGTGAGTTACCTTAGCGACCCGCTCTGAATTCTGCAGCATGTGTAAGAAGCAGGTTTTAAAGATCCCATGAACCCAAACAGAGAGCCAGGCCCGGTTTAACTTTCACCCTGTTTTCCAGTCCTTGGATGGCCAGAACATCTACAATGCCTGTTGCACGCTGCGCATTGACTTCTCTAAGCTGGTCAACCTTAATGTCAAGTACAACAACGACAAGAGCCGGGACTACACCAGGCCGGAGCTTCCTGCCGGAGACGGACAGCCCTCCGTCGATCCCACTGCGGCAGCCGGCTTCAGCAAGGATACCTCCTCCCTGCTCGGTGAGGGAGGGTTTGAGACGAGAGTTGCCTAAACCAATGTTTCCCAACCTGCTCTTTGGGCACCCCCAGACAGTCCATGTTTTCTTGTGGGAGGGAGCACAAGTGTAGACGGTCTGGGGGGTCCCTGAGGACTGGGTTCAGAAACCCTGTGTCTAAAGGTCTTTTGTGTGAAGTATGAAGAAGAAATGAAGATACAGTACAGCATATGTCTGTGTGCTGCTTCTCAGTCATTGGGTGAGTTACACCTGTGTAGGACTTACTGATTGTCGACAGAGCTGACCACCCCCCTCCCCTCTAGGAACTCCATCTGGAATGGTGACTCCCTACACCAGTGGCGCGGCATTCCCATCCACCCTCAGCTTTGCACAGAGCGGAGGTATTTATCTTCCATCTTTAATTTCACCTCTTTGTTGTAATATGTGCTCAGTGTTGGAAGTCTGAGGTGACATCTTGCAGAGGAACCTGGCAATTTACTAACTGAGGAAGCCTGGTTGGGTTAGATGTAAAACTGGCCATTAAGGGTTGGGATTCAGGGCTTCTGGCCCTCAATCGTTGGCGAGATCATTGTCGTAATGAGTTTTTTGAACGGTTTGATTTTCTGAATATTAAACAGTGATGAAAGTGCATTGCCGTAGCAGCTGTGTGTTTCTGTAAAGGGAGTTCAGCCGTGTAGTAGAGCTGTAGACGCAGTGTGGTTTTCCCAGCACCCCCTACTACCCTCTGATTGGCCCCTTCTGTCCCCAGGGGCTCTGAGTCCGCTGAGCGCCGCGGCGGCAGCGGCGGCTGCAGCCGGGAGGGTGGCGCTGTCTGGTCACACGGGCAGCGGCGGTGTGCTGCTAGTCAGCAACCTCAATGAGGAGGTCAGTACGCCCGTCACCCTGGAAACCCCCCCCCCCCCCAACAGGCATACACAGCCAGTCACATGATCACCACACTCCATTCTTAATTTAAGTTGGGTCCTGTGCCGTTTCTTGCTCCCTGCCGCATGTTAATACAGATTAGCGTATTCGTATTGGTGGCCTGGAATATTCTAATTATTATTTTTTTGATAGAATCATTGATTTGCAGCGTTAATGTCTCACCCCCCAGCCTGCCACGGTGGCAAGGCCCTCTATGCTCTTTGTGTGCCCGCTCTCTAATCACACACACTATACGCATTAACATTCATGAGCACTGCTCTGCAGAATGCCTCAGCTACCATTTAGTCAGCACTGGCTCAGCTAACTCTTCCTGACTCACTGATGCATTCTAATTTCCCATAACATTGTTGTTACCCAGCCATACAGGGATGATAGGAAACAATGCGGATTTATTTTCCTACCCCTCCATCCCCCCACACTCATTTTGCTTTCAAATAACGTTCTCATTAAGCTCCAGACTTGTGCTCGTATATCTTACGTCCGTTTCCTTGCTAAAACTGTGTTCATGCATGATTCTCAAAGAGGGGACCCCCCTCCCCTTTGCTCTGTTTTCTTTACAGATTTGACCACTTCGTCTCATCTCTTTCTTTGCTGTCATGTAAACTGACACTTGTTAATTCTTGCTCTCTCTCTCTATGCTATGTTTTTTCCCCCCCTCCTCTCAATGTCGTGAACATTTATGAAGTGTGGGACATATGCCTCTCTCTCTTTCTGTCTCTGTCTCTCTCTCTCTCTCTGTCTCTCTCTCCCTCCCCCCTCCCTTTTACCCCCCGGAGTGGATATTACGAGTTGCATTTTCTATCATGATTTCCCAAACGCCCCCGGTTTGTGGATTTAAAACATGATGTGCTGTTTATACCATAACTTCGCAAGGTGGTTTTCATGTCCAAACCCGCATGTCTGACACGGACTGTGCTTGCCAGCCTCGACAATGTGGCTTGCATCCCATACTCCGCTGTGCCTGACTTACTAAATCTTAAACTGTGTATCCTATTGCATGGCCTCCTCCCTCTCATTGTTATGCTGTGATTTTATTCTTTGATGTGAATGTAACTCTGCCCAAGTTTCACTTGGGTGGCTACATTTTTGCAGTTAATTTCTCGTGTGTTTTTAAACGAAAAGAGCAAAACGAAAGCCATTTTCTGACCAAACTCCTGCATTTCCTATGTACTGACCTGTTTTATTTTTTGTTCCCCCCCACTTTGTTTTCTTCTGCATTGCTGTTCCCCCCCCTCCCTCCTTTTTTTGTCATTCCTGTCCCCTCCCCGTTTGCCTGTCTTTTTGTTTTGTTTTTTTTCCCGCCCCCCCTTTTTCTTTACCCACCCCCTCGCCCCGACCCCCTCCCTTTCCCCGTTCATGCTTTGTGCTTGAACAAAATGTTCCTTGGACCGACTTGCCCCAATTAACTGCCTTGAACCATGATCCATGACCACCTCACCATTCTACGGGAAACCACTCTTCGTTATGGATGATCTGTTCATCTTCGCTCTTCCTCGACTCTTCTCTCTTCCTGTCTTACGCTGCTTGCTCTTCTCTCCTTCTAAAGATGGTTACGCCCCAAAGTCTGTTTACCCTCTTCGGTATGTTATCATTAGCACTCTACCTTTTTATCGTTTATATCTATATGCGCACACACACGCACACGTTTTACGTTAATGTTAATATTAGTGGTTGGCCTTGGTACGGTCTTCTCTATGTTTGTTTTTTTTTCTCTTTTGAAATCTCCATCTCCTTCTCCATTGATGATTTATGTTAATGCATGGTTATTATTTTGCATGTAGTGCTTAATTTACCTTTCTCATGAAGGCTGTTTCCGGAGGGTTTATCGCAATAGATTCCGTCTCTAAGCTACTGTTCGGCTCTATTTGATTGGATGAATGTTCTTTCTTTTTCACTTTCACGTTGAGTATCAAATTCTGAAGTACTAACTGTTCTCAATCAATCCTCTCTTTGTGTTCCCCATCTCCCTGGCCATCTCGCTGGGGGAAAAAGGAGTTTACGGCGATGCGCAGCGTGTGAAGATACTATACAATAAAAAAGACAGCGCGCTCATACAAATGGCCGACGCCAATCAAGCACAGCTTGGTGAGATTGTCGTAGCAAAGCACTTAATCCCCATTAGATTAGCCTCATTGCTAATGCTGGCTGTCGTGCTGCCATCGCGATCTTGTTTCCTTCTGCACTTATGATACAGTATCTTTAATACTTGTGGCAGGGAAAAAATTTTTTTTTTCTTTTCAGCCATGAGTCATCTGAATGGCCAGAAGATGTACGGAAAGATAATCCGGGTGACTCTGTCGAAACATCAGACGGTGCAGCTGCCCAGGGAAGGTCTGGACGACCAGGGGCTCACAAAGGACTTCACTAATTCCCCTCTGCATCGATTCAAGAAGCCCGGCTCGAAAAACTTCCAGAACATCTTTCCGCCGTCTGCCACTCTCCACCTTTCCAACATCCCGTGAGTAATGGGCAGAGTGGGCCTCAGCCGTTTGCTAATTGTGTGCTCTCTTCTGCTTTAGTCGATCATAGGCTTGCTTCTCACATAAGACGAGGTCTAACATGGCCTTTGTGAGAGGCTGTTGCCATGGATTTTCACAGCTTTCACGAATACTATTGGTGAAAAGTCACCCAATAGGTGGCGTGCTAGTAGAAACGCTTGTGTTGGTGGACAGTCAACATGAGATCAACTTATGAAAGAGTCCTTGATTAGTCATTAACTTTTATAGCCCTTGCAGATCTCCACTGAGCCATGCGTAGTTACATTTTAAAGCTTGGAGTAAATAGCAAAGGTTAACTATATAACATTATATACTTGGAGATGAATAAATTTGAGATTAAACAGAATTCCTTTGTTAATTAAACCAGTGTTTACCTTTGTGCACTTTTCACTGGTATCGGTTTAATGACATTAAGAATCTTTACATTTCCCAAGGAGTTTTTTTTAATTACTTTTGGAACAGTTGCATAATGATGCTGGAGTATGCATTTATGTATGTTTTTTTTTTTCAAATTTGTAGACAAAATGTAACTGAAGATGACCTCCGACTGCTGTTCTCGAATTCCGGTGGCACTGTGAAAGCATTTAAGTTTTTCCAGTAAGTGTCTCTTAAACAGCTTTGATTTTCAATTCTCTAACTCCTGGATGTGAATTGTAACTGGCTTTGACCAACTGTCGTTGCCCAGAGACCACAGAATGGCACTGCTGCAGATGTCAACGGTGGAAGAAGCGATCCAGGCCTTGATCGACCTCCACAATTACAACATGGGTGACAACCATCACTTGAGGGTCTCCTTCTCGAAGTCGACTATCTGAAGCAGTTGAGAGTGGCTCCTCTTAATGCTTTCGAGTGGCGTTACCTGTTGACAGTTTCTCCATACTGGGGACCACCATTTTGGCTCTTGTGTTCTTTGTTTTTTTTTTTTTTTTCCTTTTTTTTTTTCCTTTTGTTTGTTCAGTCATTCCTTAATATGACGGATTCTGAAAAAAAAAATAATTTGGAGAGATACTGCTCTGCTTTGGAGATACTGTCCTCATTTGTCTGTTAGGCAAGCCATTAACTCTTTCTATTTCTTCAAAAGAAGGATGGAAATCTTTTTATTAGTGAGTTGAAAAGACACGTGCCTTACTTATACAGCACCAACACTTCAGTTTTTGCATTTAAGTAGGTTATATCTGTTTAGGCACATTGTTTCTTATGGTCTGTGGGGTGGATTTGTTTAAATGTCTCCTGTCTCCCTCTGTGTCTGTTATTTGACATGCTTCCCCCTTAAGTGTAGACCATTAACTCCTAGAATTCAATTTTTTTGTGAATTTTTTCTTTTTGTTTTAGCAAAGTTCATATGAGGAGTAAGGACCCACATAGCACCAGGCCTGAATGGTTTGTGAGGAAACAGTGAGTTTAACGTCATTTATTTTCCAGTCAGCCAAAGGTAAAGCTTTAACCTCCATCGAGATCGAGTAACATCAAACTAATCTCTTCTGGTTTACACGGTGTTTTTCACTGGCAGTGGATACAGTACAGTCGTTGCCTGTTTTGACTTGATGTTACTTTTAGATGTTCTTCAACCTTACTTGTGGATCTGTGTTCGATTTGCCATTTTCCATTTGTGTTTGAGGACTGAGAAATGGCTGTAAAATTCTGAGCATGTGCTGGAGAAGCCACCTAGTTTTTCATGGATAAGTGTGTTAGAGTTAACAGAGGTGAGGTAAGCAGTATGGTAAGACCACAGTGAGGGCTGGCGTGACGCGGCCAGTTACCTGACCAGGACGACCTGTTGGGACCAAAGTTTCTGTGCCTTTAGTCTTATTTTACATTTCATTGCAATTTTTTTTAAACTTTTAAAGTTTTGTATGTTAAAAAAAATATAGAAAAATCAAAACCTTTTCTTACAATCATCTCATAGCACCTAAAACTTAATTCTTCAGATGGGTACTCTATTGCTGTCCTCCTATTTTTTTTCTCCAAGACCGACTATACCCCCATCCCTTCAAAAAGAGAGGGATGAGTGATGTTTGAGGGTGGGCCGGGAGAGGGGGGTATGCAAATTTTCCACATTGGCTGAATTTTAACATCTTCAGAAATGTAACATTGAGAATAGTTTGGAAGTGGCACAATTAAAAGTTCCTTTTTTAACAAGTTGGAAGGTTTGATGGTTTTCTGTGTTGCTCACCCTGCGTGTACTCTGCCCTGCCTCTGTAGCGTGCCCAATAAACACTTCTGTAGCTCTATATTCACCTCTTCTGTTTCTGTGATGCTTCTCTCTCCTTGCCTCTCTCTCTCTCTGTCTGTCTGTCTCTCCCTTGNGCCCAATAAACACTTCTGTAGCTCTATATTCACCTCTTCTGTTTCTGTGATGCTTCTCTCTCCTTGCCTCTCTCTCTCTCTGTCTGTCTGTCTCTCCCTTGCTCTCTCCTTCACTCATCTTTCCCCCACTTTGCTTCACTTTGATGTTGCGTTTTCAGGTTCGGAAAGAAAAGGCGACGGCACCTCGGAGCCCTAATCAAGGCCCAAAACGTTAACGAGTCAAACGAATCAAACCCTTTTTTAGGAGCCGGTGTAAATAATTACCCACCCTGCCGTGTCCCTTTTTGCTCCATATAGACCCCTCTGTGATTTTTAGCTTTGACTTTGTTTTTCCCCTCTAGTTGTGTGTGCTAATCATGTTTACCTGCTGCAAATCCATCTTTCACCTCCGTCTCTCTGCTGTAGATGCCTGTCTACTTAATGCCATTTCCCTCTTTCTCAAGAAAGTTTTGAAGCAATGAACTTCACAGTTTGAAGTCTAAGATTTAACGGTACTACGGAACAGATGTGTGGGAGCTGTTCAGTACTTCATAACGTATGACGTAAAGGTCACCATAAAGAATGTGTGATGAAGGGTTGGAAATACAAGGAGCGTTTTTGAATCGTGGGTTTGGATCATTCCCAAGGAACTCATTCCATTTGTCATTTTCTCTTACCTCACTTTTGACTGATAATGTATTTGAAAGACCATCTGTTACAGATCTTGTTTCTTGGCACTATTTAGTAACTTGTACACTCAAGATTTTAATCTCTTTTAATCTTTAATCTTTTAAGTGTATCATTTGATCCATCTGGATTGGGAGGAAAAATGTGCAATGATCACTTAATTACATCAGTCACTACTGAATTTACTCAGCCTTAGAGTGAATTATGGATACATCTTAGTAGGCTTGCATGGTAAACAGGGGTTATATGTTCATAAATGCTTTTATAATGAATGCATTTATTTATGAATGAACTGGTTTGATCATTGCATACTTAATAGGTAAATATCCATTCTAAATACAATCTTGTATATACAAATATGCAATTATTTTTAGGGCAACGTTCAAGTTATATTTTGTCTAGAGAGCATTCCATGATACAGGGTAACATGTTGAATACGGCAGTTTATTTGTAAACCTCAGCTGTGGTTCTCGTATTTCTATCCTTCTGACTAAAAAAAGACAATGTAAAATAGGCAATGGGCCTGCTAATTCCTTTGAATTCATTAAGATTTAGAAATGGATGTGTAAAAGGTATAATTGCTTTAATGGCGTTCAACAGTGTTTTTCCAGATTATTGATTATTAACATCAATTGGGATTGACGGTAGTATTTTATGGTCCTAGTTTTTTCCAGGATGTGAATCACGCTTGTTTACTGAATCAGCATATGTAAATGTCTGTACCCATTCAGAGAATGTACATGAATTATGGTCATAATGGGCCTTTTAGTTGGCATTCTGATCCCTCAATCTGTAGAGTGCGAGGCTTTCCATCTTGGGCTTTGTAGGGTATGTGGCGATGGCGCTCTTTGATGTGGGTGTCAAGGCTGTATGATAGGAGGCTAATTTATAATTTGCCTAATGAACGGTTCCTGACGCACATCAGAGAAGGTGGGCGAGGCTGCCGTCTGCACGAATGTGGGCATGACGTCCGAGCAGAGGAGAGGACGAGAAACAAGCTGACCGAGAAACAATACAGGCCCCTGGAGTCATCAGAAACACTGACGCTTCTCAAAATTGAAGCCCAATTGAACATATTCTGTTGTGTGTGTGTGTGTGGAGTGGATTGTGTTTCCCGAGTTTTTAATGTGCCTTTTTAAAGTGTATTATGAAAACCCCCGTTTGGCACAAGCCTCTATTCTGATGGACCTGAGGTGTCACTGGAGTTGGAAAGGAAAAATAAAATACATCGTCTGCGTTACAGAATGGTTTGCTCACTGCGAGTTTTTTTTTTTTCCTTGCTGTAGGCAGTTGTGCTCTGATTTGACAGGGTGATGCATTAACTGGACTGCTTCCATAAATATGAAGAACTTTTGCTGCTTTTTTTTTTTTTTTGTAAAACTGCATATATAAATGTTTAGTCCAAAACATTTTTTTTTGTTCAAAAACATTCATTAAAATTAGTTTTGCTCAGCATATGCAGCAGGTGGACTCAGTTTATGTTGCAATTTACAAAATTACATCCATCACATTCCAATCTCATGGTATTTTGTTTTTCTCCTATGTACAAGAATGTGTTTAATTATTACAAATGAATATTTGATGACAGTGCTCTTTTTCCTATGGTTTACATTGAGTAAAATTGCATATTTCTCTCTACTTTTATGCTAAGTTATGCAACAAAATAGTAACATACTGGGATGACAAGGTGACTCAGTAGGTAACATTGTTTCCTCACAATGAGCTGAAGGTTTGAATCTCACCCTCAGTCTGTATGTGCAGTACCAGTCAAAAGTTTGGATACATCTAGCCGCCTGCAAAGGAGAGCGATAGTGTTGCATCACATGACTTAAAGTAGAGATGGTTTTGGAGGAGTTTGGCCAGAAAGTGAAGGAAAAGCAGCCAATGAGTGTTCAGCATATACATGGGACCTCCTTCGGGACAGCTATAAAATCATCCCAGGAGGCCACCTCATGAAACTGGCACATAGGAGACTGTAGAGTTCCTCGAGCAATTGGGCTTAAGGGTCTTGCGCAAGGGTCCAATGATGAGATCACTCTGCCGACCACGGGATTTGAACCAGCAACCTTCTGAGTCCCACAGAGCTGCCCCCCATTAATTTTTTGTTTAATACTTTATTGGTTAGTGCATAACTATTTGTCATATTATAGTTTTAACATCTATTCTAAAATCTGTGTGTGTTTGTAGGGTGTTTCCCAGCCTCGTGCTCTGTGCTGCCTGGCATACGTTCCAGGTCCCACTCTGGCCATGCTCCGGAATGGATGGGTATTACATCTAGCACTGATGTGCTGAACCCATTGCATTAAGCTTACTTATTACGTATTTAGTTGTATACAAGCATCCCAGGTAGTTAAAACCTTATCTCTTGCCACTTTGGGTTCATGAGTAAAATCTGCCGGAAAGTTCCATGGTGGCATGTGCACTACTTAAAGGCACAGCCTGATAAGACAAGGTTGACCAGTAATCCCACAATGCATTACTCCTCTGCTTGTTGATATTTCACAACTAGTTGCAGTTTGGAGAATCGCACGTATGGGGGTATGTTTCACTGGTGTAATGCTGGCAGGGGCGCCGTAAGGGGGAGGAAAGCTAGGACGATTCCAAGGGCCCCTGAGTGACAGGGGCCCTAAAAAATTAGGAAAATAACTGGATTGGTTTGGACTGGGGGTCCTAATATGATATGCTTTCATGGGGCCCAAAATCTCTAGCAACGCCCCTGAATGCTGGCAATGTGGAAGGGGTGAAAATGTGGTTGATCATGTAGGATCTGCCCACGCTTTAATGGGTCAGTACAAAAGATCTCTAATGCAAGTCATTTTGCATCCCAAACACTTCTGTAATACTACCATAAAAGCGTTTTCACTTGCACGTTAATTTCAGCTTTAGCCATTATTTTCAGAATTGGTGACTCCCAGAGCAAAGAGGGCAATATCAAATGCTTTAGGTGTTTTTTTATTTTGTTTAATTAAACATTAAAAGTAACGGATACATTTTGAAAGAATGCAGGAATAATTGTCAGTGGCTACATAGTGTACTTTATTGTATGATTATAGATTTGGAGATAAGATGCTTTTAGAGTAAGAAGCTCATGGCTTCCAAGACAGGAAGCTGTACATAATGGGATATTCTGAGGGGAAATTCCAAAATGAGTCACGGCATCCTGGTGATGCAATGTAACAGAGACATGACAGGGGTTAGCCTGAAATTGAAGGTGATGCACTGAAATGTTAGACCAAATTATAACTTATCATGACACTTCAACTCATTATCAGTGTTTGTGCTTTATTCTCTCCATTGCTGATGTAGAGAACTTGAGAGAAGCTTGTTCATCCTAGTGTCTTACTACTGACTTAATTATCAATCTGTTGTCTTCTCAGTCAGCGGCTTATGGGACTAGTTTTCTTAGTAGCTTAGTGAAATTAAGGGCTAACTAAACGGCAAAGGTATTTTGCACATTTTATAGCTGATTGGCTAAATATTATGTACGGAATTTATGAAATTATCAATCCATATCCATCTTCCAACTGCTTATCTGATGCAGGTTTCCGGGTGTATAGTCATGAAAAGTGTTTTTGTTGAAGATGCTTTCCGAGGCAGTGTTACTCTGCATTTTCTTGCCGGTTCTCAGTAGCTACTCAATACAGAACTGACACTTAATACCCCACAGTAGATAGGCTGTGCGGTGTGTATAGCTAGGTGTTTTGCTGGAATGATTCAGGTTAAGTATTTTACTGGAGAGCACTCTAGCAGGCGCTGTCTAAGGCTCGACCCAGCAACCTTCCGCTTTTAAGACTACATTCTCAATTAGCGCTGTGTGTTGTCCTATACCCAGTGGCCTTCTTTTTAAGCAGATCCTTTTTCCTGCTGAATGTTAATTTCATTGGATGTAATTGGAAATGTTTGTCCTGAAGTTATATTTTACATAAAATTATAATTTTAATGTGATTTTCCGGTACTTGTTAAACGCACGTGTGGAGGGGTTTATGTGTGGACTGTTCAGGCTATTGAGGTATGATTATGATTACCTTCCAGAAGATAGATGCCATTTTTTTTCCTTTTCACTTTTTTGGTTCAAAAATGGACAGCATCACAATGACGGCAACTAGAGAAGCATATTAATCTGCAGTCATATATAAAAACAAAGATTAAAAAGGTGTATCCAGATGCAGTTTAATGTTGAGAACTGTTTTTAAAACTAAACTTCAGTAAAATTTACCCAGTCATCTATGAGCAACTACAGGACATTAATTAAACCTATCTTAAACCTATCCTAATAGCAGGTTTTAGATGCTCTCTCTTGGCTTGATAATTAGGCTATCCTGCCTCAGCTGGGCCATGGACCTCTGGTTACACAGTCTGTGGGGAGCGAGTCGTGTCCCGGCACTCGGATTCCTTATCTTTCACGAGGACCGGTCGGTGTCACTGGGGGCTTGGGCTCTAATCAGCGTGTCGAGTCACATTAAGAGACGACTCCATTAAAAAGGAAAACACTTTGTTTCTCTTTTGACTATTGATGAAATGGTTTTGGTGGAATAGGAATTTTGGGAGGCAAAAAAACGTGGGTAATTCCAATCTGGAGAGTAAACGTCCAGACCAAGATTTTGTTTCGACCAACCAGTTCAGTATAAAGAGTCAAAGTGACAAAGTAATCAACTGGTTGGTTGAAGCAAAATCTTGGTCTGGACTTTTACACTCTGGACCTGAAGTAGTCACCTCTGGGTGCAAATGTTTTCTACACAAATTGTGATTTCAGGTTGTACCTTGAAACTTTTGTGATGCTTTGCTTGCTATTTGTGCAAATTTAAATACAGATAAAATGGAATGTGATCATTTTAGCATGTCCCCTCAGGCTCTCCTTTGAGACATAAACACACACATAGATACAGATGACAGTGAAGCTTGGGGTCAGGTCATTTATCTGGTGCCCCTGGAGCATTTCGGGGGGGGTGGGGGGTTAAGCCTGTGCTTGAAGGCACGACGGACATGTGACAAACACTGTGAAAAGCACTGCTCTCGTTTACTCGCACCTTAACATGAGTGTCTTTTGAACCTACAGGCTTTACGTCGTAACGTTTTCCTTAAAACAGGATGTTAAGGTCATGCATGCAACAGGGACTGTGTGTATGAGTGGGAAATCTAATTAAAACTACCTAATTGATGAGATTTCCATGAGAGACCCCACAGCAGGCTGAAGAAGATCATTCTCCTGTGGAGTTTAGACACATTAATTATGAAATGGGGAGTGGAAACCATTGAGATATTTGTACCGGGACTTTGAGTCCAGCCTGTGCACTGGATGAATTTATACTTGTTTTCATCATGGGCCTCTACAGGCCAAATTAATGACTCTTTTGCATTTATATATCATACAAATGTAGTGAAATTAGCAGTGTAGAGTCATTGTTATCCTCTTCTCATAGTGCTGTCGTTCTGTCTCAATGGATAGTATTATGTGTTCTCCTAAGAATCAATCCCTTTACCATTAAGTCATGTTAAATATGTTTTTAATGTAAGCAGAGGTGGACATTTCAGGTCCAGAATGTAAAAATCCTGGACATTAAATGTCCACCTCTGAATATAAGTGTTAACATTTGTTTGAAATAAATGTTGCTAGATATATTGTAAGAGTAACACTGTTGATAACTACAAAGAATATGCTTTATACACAGTAAAGGAGGGAAACGGTGCACTGTAAAAAAATAAAAAGTTGGGAAAACAACCTGCTGCAAAGCATTTATAAGTTCTCAACTTCATGCCCATGTAGCTGCGCTGACTTAATTTCCTAAGTTACACTGTGAGTTCTCACAGGGCAGTGCTTTAAGTTTCCTCAACTTCACTTTGCAAGCACAATCAAATAGTAAGTGTGATTTTGCTGAGATTGAAATGATATGTTGGGTGAACTATTATAACCCAAAGCAGGTTTGCACAACTGCATGGTGATTGAAGTTGAGAAAACATAGAAATGCTTTGCTGCTGGTCGCCTTACATTTGTAAGTCTGCTCAAATCACTCTAAACTTACTTTGTAAGTTTAACGAAATACATAAAGAATTAAAGGCAATTAATTAGATGTTCATCTTAAATCACAACAGAGACAATGAATTATTAAATACAACTTATTTCACTCTCCTTTTTGAACATCGTGTATACACATACATACAATTATGAACCTTTTTTAATTTAAAGGAATATATAAAGTACAATCTCTTGCAGCACCACACTCCACCTTAAAAGATCACTGCACACACACACTTCAGCAAAGCACCACAAGAAGGATGCGTGCCCTTATTATTAGGCTAACATACACTCACCTAAAGGATTATTAGGAACACCTGTTCAATTTCTCATTAATGCAATTAT